CCAAGTCGCTCGCGTGTTTTTGTTTTGATTTAATACTAGAACAAAAAAAAGAAACAAATTAAATTTATCTCTAATATATATAAAACGAACATTATTTAGTTGTAATTAAAGTGTAAAATATATAAAAAAGAATCCATTAATTTGAAAAGTTCTTTAAACTTTTTTTTAAAATACTTATATTTCCAATGAGAGACAATTAAACTAAATAAAATAATTGCAAAGAAAGAACAATATGTGTTGCTTCTGATTTTCATTAATACGCTTTACGACGTCGTCACTTACTCATTTTTAGCTGTTGCTAAAAATGTCTATTTGTTCCTATTCTGCTGGTAGTTTAGCTTGACCAGTATGGAGTTTTGGCTATTGCGTTTCCCCTTTTGTTATCGCCCGTTGGTCAGTCGAACCCATTTCAACGTCATTACATTGTTGATGATGTCAGTAAGAGAAGATATAAATCGCCCGCTCACTTGTTCAGCATTGTTATTAAATCCGTTTGCTCAACGTAATCATTGGCGTGTCTCCTCCAACCAACCAAATAACCATTCATTCACCCATAGAAAACCCTGCTGTTCGGGGTAGATGTACCGAATTAGTTCTTTTACCTATCATGGTAAATGTCAAATGTGTCAAATGATCTAAAAATATTTCAAGTGAAATATTTCAATTGAAAAAAAGAGGTGGTTTATGTTAAACACTCAGAAAACTGTTAGGAATTCTTTCCTCGCTAACACAATTTTCTCTAAGTGTATGCATTTTTTTAATAAAAATCTCTGGCTTTGTTAGGTGGAGTGCAATTTTATGTATTTATTGTCTGTCTATCCATTTATCCAGAGTATATGGTGTACTGTGCTGTAATGAAATGATGAAAATTCATTCCATCACCCATTTGTAGTTTGTTGCTGTTGTTGCAAATTGTTTATTTGTTTGGAATTTTTATTATGGTTTGTTGTGGGGTGTTTTACTTTTGCTTTTTTTTTTGCATTACAAATTTCCACATAAATCATTCAATTCAATTTCTTTCAATAATAGGAATACATTAAAATATCTTTAGACTAGATCTTTTGAGTATTTTAGACAATTATTTGTCGTCGCGCCTGCGTTCATTTTAATTTAAAATAAATTTCATTTTATTCCCTCCCCTTAAACTTGCAATTATGCAGCCAACAATAGACAATTACTGTACTGTTGTGAAAATCTTAAACAGCGACACATTCTTGATCGTATCCAGTGTGTTTTGTATCTTAATTTGTTGTGTGATTTCATATCTGCCAGTGCTTAACCAAAATTCAAGGGCAAATGGATTATATGTATGTAAATTGTTTTTAGTTATATGTAAGCAGAATGTTACAAGTGTACACTGAAAAAAGAGTTATGATTAACATAATTTGCACTCTGAATTACTATTGCGATTTGACTCGTTCCCACGACACATTCTTAATTCGATTTGACAGTTCATGTTGTTTGTTTTGTTTCATTTTTATTTTCTTCCAACTATGAAATGGAAACAAACAGCTGATTATAATAAATACTCAAAATACAGATTCGCTATTCGGTTCTGAATTGGAGAACAACTCTCGCGTCATCGCCATTATTTTTTAAGGACCGTCAGGCTTGTGTTTATTGTTAGGCTTTCAACGGAGTTGCGCACTTGTGAGGTGCATTACTTTGTGTAATTTTGCAGTTATACATTGTCTGCATCAGTCCGGTGCTGTCAACCGTTTATTCCCTCGTTCCAAAAAAACTCTTCAACTTTACTGGTGGAGTATCATCGAAAACTCAAAATTTACTTAGTGTTTGAAGGTTCCTAGCTTCCTTTATGAAGAATTGGAAGATTTCCTTTAAACGAATGAATGAAATTTAATCCTTATGTTTTCGTGACGAAATCCGAAACAGCTGCTTAGTTTCAGCAATGAAAGAAATCGTGAAAAGCTCAATATATTTGGAGGGAAATTTCACTCGCGATTAGAACTATTTGTAAAAGAGAATCTGTTTTGAGAAGTTCCGTTTTTAGGTGTTACAGCATATAAAGTATAAAAATCTTAAACATTCGTATGAACATTTAAAAATGTTTAATTAATTTTTATCTATTTAAAACGGCCACAGGTGAACAATAAAATTACATTTAATGATTTGATTTAGAGCTTTATTCAAATGTTTTCAATTTACAATTTTACTAATTGATGTTCGACGACCGCATTCTAATTAATATTCGATAGATGAGAGGAAAGTGGGTGCAAGTTTACAGCTAAATAAAAAGTGTGCTTCAAACCGCACTAACAAACAGCTTTATTATAAACTATTATTAAATTAGATAGAAAATTTACAACAAATCAATCAATGAACGATCAGTGGTGGGCAGAAAGAGAACAAGTTGCACATAATTTATTAAAAGAAAGCCGTAAACATATGTTGATTTTGTTTGAAATTATTATCATTGTTAAACATGAAAATAATAAATTTCGTTCCCTGTTGGCTTTACTTGCCGAGACCGTTCTAGTATGTATTTATTTGAGTGATCTGTTATACTTGTGATATTTTAACACTTTGTTAAACTATTGTTATTATTGAATGAAGAGGAGGCGTTTGATTTTTGAGTAGGCGTTTTTCTCGTAATCATTTGACATAACTTAATATCATCTTAAATATTCTGGTTTTAACTATTTATGGGAACTTTTATATTTTTGAACAAAACAGCAAATAAATCAATAAAAATTAAATATTTTTTTAAAGATTCTAATGCTAATAAGATGATGTTAAAGATTTGTCTGTATTTAGATAAAACGATAAAATTTGTTTTTAAATTAATCAATAATGAACGTATTAGAAAATAAAAACATTACTTTGCTCACGAATATCTTCAATTTTGAATTGTTTGGGTACAACTCTAAAAAATGTCGATGTACGCATTAATGTTTTTTAATTGTTAAAGTAGCCGTTGACGTCTCAGTCATGAACGTTGACGTTTCTGAGACTGTATTCGATAAATATGTGAAAATAATGACTAATGCCTTTGCCACTTTTCGTTTGTCTATTTTTGGTCAAACAGGCATTAACTTTGTTCTTCTTTTTATCGCAAAATAAAGAAACAAATTGTTTCTTTTTTTTTTGTTCACATATTTTTTTAACATTTGTTTTTATCAAATATCATGCTGAGGATTTAATTTAATTTAAAACAAAATACACTGAAAGAAATTTGTTGAAGAAGATCTTCTCAATGTAATAAACAATGTTAGTTTAAAAACTATATTTAAACTTTAGCAATGAATTTCCCCCAAATTGACATATTCTATAAATCCTAACTAGTGATCTTACTACGTGGAAAGTATTCATTTACAATAGTCATTTACAATTATCATCATATCTAAATTGTTATGTTTGTATTTGATTAAATTAAAACACAAATGATTTCAATGAACTCTAAATGATTACTTCTTACTATTTCGCTGAATTCTTTTCTATTTCTACCTTTCTTTTAAATCTTCTTGATTTTTTTGCACTTGCGTGTAATGAAATTAATCATAAATTAAGATTCTAATTATTTTCTCTCTTCGTTGGTTTTCGTTTTTAACGTTGTTGTCATAGTTTCTGTTCCAAGAGAATTAGCGGTAGAAATAGCAGAATCAAGGGAATTGAATTACTATTACAATTCCCTCACAAACTTCTACTTTTTATTGTTCTGTGTCTACTTCTTCGTAGATACATATGCCAACAGCAAATTGTTGAAAAAAGAGTATGGTGTCTGTCCAGCCCCATACACTAAGCATCCGGTTTGACTTGGTTTGGAAACATTAGACAACCAACAATAGTTTTATTTTGGTTAATTTAAATTTTTGTAAAAAAAGTGTAAATGAAAATTTGAAGCAACGAAAAAAAGAGTTTTAAATATTCCCATGATTAGAAACGAAAGATCTGAATTAAATCACCTTTTTCTAGACACAACGAAACGAACTTAATCATTTTAACGAAAACGAATTTGAAAAAAAAAAATAAGATTAATAAAAGTGTATGCATAAATTTGATAAACATTTTGGAACGGTGAAAAAACGTATATTTTTTGAAGGAGGCCCTCTAGCAGCTAAAGAACAAAATTTGTCTCACAATAATAGTACAATGCATTCACGAACCTCCACTACTTCATCGTCATTGATGAAGAAACGTGGCCAGGCTCAAGGCACTACCACAGCATTGGTACCTTCTCGTGGACCACCCATAACTACCAATATTGACGATCACAATGCTATCTATCAGCATCAGTTTAAACATGAAAAGACCATAGAAGCAGTTATTACCGATTATCCGGGTGTGGCGCCTGCCTCGGCTACGCCACAAGAACGTTTTTCATATGATCGTTCCTTAGTTTTGCGTAATAGCTTCCGTAATGGTAGCTCTCGTACACCCGAAGTTGACTTAACATCCGGTGCAGTAGGTGGGCAACATCATGAATTGCACGAATCGTTTCAACAAGTAACACGTAACAAACGGATTTCCACTGAGGTATTGGGCTCAAGTGTTGAGAGTACCAAGACCTCACAACGAGGACCCAGTGGACATCGTCGCATTACCACTCATATAGTGCGCAAGGTTACTACGCTTAGTCGTGCCGAAGAGCAACAATTGCCACCAGAAGATTTGTTGCCACCGGCTAAAATGTTGCGTAGTTCTGATTTGGAATATCGTCATACGTTACCTATAAGTACTGCTCTACCAGCAATAGAGCCCGCATATTCTACAACTACAAAAACTCAACGCACCAAGGTATTCTTGATGATTTAGATTAAAACAAAACTAAAGAAAATAATAGCAACAAAAAGATGATGCTTATATTATTAATGACCAAAAACTTTATATGGCCTAAAGGTTACTAATTCAAAAAATATAAATTACATAATAAATTGAAACTTTTTTAAACACATTTTTTTCCGCACACACACTCTCCTACTCCCTAATATCTTTGAATATTTTTTTTTAATTAAACAATTAAATTTTCTCTCCATTAACAGATCTCCGATATTGTTGTTGGCCAAGAGGACAAAGTATCTGCACGTGAGGCACTTTTGCGTTGGGCTCGTCGCTCTACTGCTCGGTATCCGGGAGTTCGTGTCAATGATTTCACAACATCATGGCGCGATGGTTTGGCATTCTCAGCACTTGTACATCGTAATCGACCGGACTTGCTTGACTGGCGAAAGGCAAGAAACGATCGACCAAGAGAACGTTTGGAGAATGCCTTCCATATTGTTGAGAAGGAATATGGTGTTACACGTCTATTAGATCCAGAAGGTAAGTTAGAAATATCTCCTCATAACAAATGTATTTTAAATTTACTTTCTTTTTCATTGCTTAGATGTTGACACTAACGAACCCGATGAGAAATCATTAATTACTTACATATCATCTTTGTATGATGTGTTCCCCGAACCACCTGCCATTCATCCCCTCTTTGACATGGAGTCACAACGCCGGGTTCACGAATATCGTGACTTGGCTCAACAGTTCATCTATTGGTGTCGCGAAAAGACCGCTTACTTGCAGGAACGTTCATTCCCGCCCACATTGATTGAATTGAAACGTTTGCTTAGCGACCTGCATCACTTCCGCAACGAGGAAGTGTCCGTTCGCAAGCGAGAAAAAACCAAATTGGTACAAATCTACAAGGAACTTGAGCGGTACTTTGAAAGTATCGGCGAAATTGATGTGGAGACGGAATTGCGTCCCGAGGCCATTGAAAAGGCCTGGTATCGCATGCAGACCGCTCTGCAAGATCGTGAAATGATATTGCAGCAAGAAATCGATCGTCTGGAACGTTTGCAGCGTCTTGCTGATAAAGTCGAACGCGAAATTAAGCATGTCGATGTCAAACTGACCGACCTTGAAAGTCGCATTAACGAAGAAGCCAGACGTATCGAACGCTTGCATCCAGTGGATGCAAAGAATATTGTCGAATCATTAGAAACTGAAATTCGTCATTTGGAAGAGCCCATACAAGACATGAATCAAGATTGCCACGTTCTCAATGAAGGCCGTTATCCCCATGTGGCCGAACTGCATAAAAAAGTCAATAAACTACATCAACGCTGGGCTCAACTTCGAACTACATTCCATACAAATCTTGTGCAAAAATTAACCGGCCTCAAATACCCCGTCCAAGAAACAACCTTGACACGCCAAAAGCGCGTTGTCGTAGAATCACGACAAATTGAAACAAATCCTCATTTCAGAGATTTACAAGAACACATCGAATGGTGCCAAAACAAATTGAAACAACTTCTTGCCGCCGACTATGGTACAGATTTGCCATCCGTCAAAGAAGAACTTGATCGTCAACAGCGTGAACACAAAATCATCGATCAATTCCACAGTAAGATACTCAACGACGAACGCCAACAAACGAAATTCACTGGCGATGAATTGAATCTGTATCAACAACGTTTGAATCAATTGCAAAAAATCTATGCCGAACTATTGAGTACCTCAACTAAACGATTATCCGATTTGGATTCATTGCAACATTTCCTGGCTCAAGCATCGGCCGAATTGCAGTGGTTAAACGAAAAGGAACAAATAGAAATAACTCGCGATTGGGCAGACAAACAATTGGATTTGCCCTCTGTGCACAGATATTATGAGGTAAGTTTTTGTTTGTTTGTTTTTTCTGTTTAATCCTTTAAATATACTTTATGTTTGTATATAAGTCAGTGGTTAGCAAGTTGAGCACAAATTATTGAATAATCTTGTATGTCTCAGCATGTTAATATGAATTTCTTTGAAATTAATGTTTGCTTTTGATGCTGACCACTGCTTAATACATATAGACATACATACGTATGTAGTATTAAAATTAAAATTTAAACTACAATTGACTGATTTTAATATGTATTTGCTTTGTATATGTTTAAATTGACAAGCGTGCATTTGGTAATGGAGATGAGGTGAGATTATGAAAAAATAAAAATTCTATTCCTTGCATCCTTTTTCAGTTATTTTGTTAAACGTTTTTGTTTTAGATTTTGAGTTTATTGTTTAAATAATTGGTTTTGTTGGTGTTCTTGTTTTTAAGATCGAACTATTACCAAGTGCAACAATGTATAATAATATTCTTATATTGTTTAGCATTTTAAGTTTTAAAATATAAAATTTTGAATGTTTTCTTTAAGTGTTACATTTAATGTAATTAGTGTTTTTAAATTCATATCATATTTTTATTGCATTCATTTCCGAAGCCAGTTTAGTACGAAATTGCATGTTTTAAAACAATCAAAAAGTTTTATCATAACTGTTGATAAATTTTCATAATATCCTTATAAAATTTTAAATTTAAACAACTTTCAGTTAATAAAGTAAAATTCAAATTTGTTTGTAATTATTTGCTGTAATCAAAGCCTTCACTTGGTTCTTGTTTTAATAAGCTAATCATTGTCAACCTTTAATAAAGAAATTGAATTTTATTGAGAATTAACAAGATTAATCGGAATTTGGCGAAGCTAAAAGAAAAGCAAAATTGAAACCATTCCCATAGAAATGTATAACAGGCGTGAATTTATTATGAAATAAACTATACTAGGTTTACTCCTTTTTAGCTGTATAAGAACGGGTTTTTGAGATGGTAATCAAATGCCAATTAATAATCAGATTAGTTAATCTAAAAATAAATTTAATCTTATGTTAATCTCCTTTGATGTTTTTGAGTACAAGATTAAACTTCGCAGTGTTGCCATACAAAACAACAGAAAACTTCACTGTTATCAAAACAATGCATATTTTATAAAAAAGAAGAAGACAATTGTAAATTTAATATGAAAATTAATGAAAACTTAAATTAAAAACAAAAAAATGTATTTTGAAGTGTCCATAATTTATACTAATCAATAAATAGAACATTTTAACGTTTATATTTATAAAAATTTTATTAATTTTTTTGCATCTGCTGTTTACCCTTTTGCATTTCGTGCTTAAGATTAAACCACCTCCATTGGGCGCTTAAACTTGCAAACAAAATTAACTAATTGAGTACTCAAAAACATCTTTCGAGGATTAATTTTAATTTAATCGCTAATTTTTCATCTAAAGATTGGCCCTAAATGTTTATTTAGTTATAAACGATTTTAATTTTAAATTATTCTTCCCTTTTACGTTTAATAAGATTGCATGAGCATCATTTAAATTGATTTTTGTTTATGTTTGTTATATAGTTCGATCTTTTCCATGTTTCTTTATTTATTTAACTTTAGTAATTTTTACATTAAAAAACTTATAATAATAATTCTCAATTTTATTTTACAGAATCTGATGTCTGAATTAGAAAAACGTGAATTACATTTTGGTACAATATTGGATCGTGGTGAAACTTTGTTGAATCAACAACATCCCGCCTCGAAATGTATTGATGGTCATTTGACTATTTTGCAACAGCAATGGGCATGGCTTTTACAATTGACCCTCTGTCTGGAGGTACATTTGAAACATGCCACTGAATATCATCAATTCTTTGCCGAGATAAAAGATGCCGAACAATGGCTGAGCAAACGTGATGAAATTTTGAATAGTGAATATTCAAAATCTGACTTTGGCTTAGATCAAGGAGAAGCTCTGCTGAGAGGCATGCAAGATTTGCGTGAAGAATTGAATGCATTTGGTGAAACAGTTGCCAACTTGCAGCATAGAGCTCAAACAATAGTACCTTTGAATAAGCGCCGCCAACCTGTCAATCGTCAGAGTCCCGTCCAAGCCATATGTGCTTATAATCAACAAGGACAAGTCCAAGTAGATAAGGGAGAGACTTGTACATTGATAGACAACTCAGGTCGTGTAAAATGGCGCGTACGTACGTCCAAAGGACAAGAAGGTTTAGTGCCCAGTGCTTGTCTATTAATGCCACCACCGGATAAGGAGGCCATTGATGCTGCCGAAAGACTTAAACGTTTGTTTGATCGCTCTGTCAGTCTGTGGCAAAAGAAACACTTGCGTCTTAGACAAAACATGATCTTTGCCACCATACGTGTTGTCAAGGGTTGGGACTTTGATCAATTCTTGGCCATGGGTCCTGAACAAAGAACTGCTATACGTCGTGCTTTAAATGACGATGCAGACAAATTGCTTAGTGAAGGTGATCCAAATGATCCTCAACTAAGACGTTTGAAACGTGAAATGGATGAAGTAAACCGTTTGTTTGATGAATTTGAAAAGCGTGCCAGAGCAGAAGGTAAATATTGCAAGAAAACTAGTAGATATCATGTATAAAGGGGTGCATAAATTTTAATTAAATCTATGATACTTCTGTGGGTGTTTGGATTTTTATTAAAAGAATTTCTTAAGTACGCACTTTAATTTTACACATTATTCTATGCGACAAGTCAGTCACACAAGGTAATACGTCAATGTGGGTTTATTAAGTTAGAATGGCAATTCAATTAATGCCCCAATTAAAGAATACAAAAAGAATAACTAACGAACATCTGTTCACAAACGTAAGCTTAGGATGTTCAACAAACATCAAATGCTTTGCCAGTTGAAATAAAGATTCGTAAGAAAAAACATTATTATTTACTAAAGAATTGTAAAACAAAAAAGAAAATGAAAAATTTATTTGCCAGTCGTAAAACAAGAGGTACAAGCTTACAAATCCTTCTTAGCTCCTTGCATTAAGCAATACAAAGAAAATTTAATTAATATTTTTGTTTTTTTCTTTTGCAGAGGAAAGTAAACAAGCCAGTCGCATCTTTACCGAAGAATGTATTGCCATTAAGGGTAAACTGGAAGATATGGCAAGAGAATTAGAGCAAATCATAAGTGCTCCTCTGCCCCGTGATCTAGACTCATTGGAACATGTTTTAGAAATCCATTCCGATTATGAACGTCGTCTACAGCTATTAGATCCCGAATTGCAGCATTTGCAAGAAACCTTCCGTACAATTGCTTTGAAAACACCAGCTCTTAAAAAGAGTTTGGATAATTTATTGATATTATGGAAGGAATTAAATACCTTGAGTAATTTACATAAAGATCGTTTGAAACTATTGGAAACATCTCTGGCTGGTCTAGAGGACAATGAACATTTCATATCGGAAATAGAAAATCAACTTGCCAGACATCAGGATCTACCCTCCACTGCCGAAGGCTTGGAAATGGTATTTAAACAGTTGACACATATGCAAGATTTGATAACACAACAACAGCCACAAATGGACAAAATGACAGATGCGGCCGATCAATTAGGACGCATGGGTGTGCCCACAAAAGTATTAAATGATTTGAAACGTCTGCATACCAATGTTGAGCGTTTGAATACACGATGGAGTACAATTTGTAATCAACTAGCTGAAAGGTATTTAGTAATTTCTTTAAATTGAAAATAATCATATTTAGAAAAAAGGCTCTAGATTTTAAAATATTAAATAGCATTTGCTGAAACAGCTCTTTAATCCTGTAAAATGTTTTCAAATATTTTTGAGTTTAAACACCTGATTTTATTCACCTGTATATAATTTTGTTGATTTACAAGTGTGTACATTTGTATCAATTATCACTTCAATATCACTCAAGTATTATTTAATGCTTGATTGATTTCGTTTAATACACACTTAATTTTCGTAATAAAACACTTTTATTTTTAAGTGTATTTTAATGAAACACCTTAAAAATATCATCGTCTTTATTTGTAAATATGTTTTTTTGTGTTCACGCTTCTTTAGTTATACGTTAATTTTGTCGGCTTTTTGTCATCATCTCTTTTTGTTTTGTAAATTTATAGAATGCGCTCATGCGAGAACGCCATAGGCCTTATGAAGAATCTCCAATTACCGCTACAGGTTGAAGAATCATGGGTGGATGGCACTATAGATAAGGTGGCAGCCATGCCGACTGCTACTTCGGCTTATGAATTGGACGTAAGTTTAAAAAATAACCCTTTTAATATTCCATTATTACAAAGTAAATTTTATTTAAATTATTATCTAATGTTTTAAGTTATGATTTTTAGATATTATTTTTTTAGCATTTTTTTATTTAAATAGTACATTCAATTTTTCAAGTTAAATTATTTTAGTTTTAGGAGATTCAATACAATTTTCTTTTTCTTTATTTTTCAAACTGCCAGTTTCTATTTTATGTAGGATTATTTTAGTATGAATTTCGATTTTCACCTTTGAAGGGACCAAACTTTTGATTTGATTTGATGATTTGAAAATAAATAAAAACACAAAGTATATATTCAATTCTTGTTATATAGAAACTGTATAGTAGTGTTTTTGTTCCTTGAAATTGGTGTTGGTCAATTACTTTAGCAAAAAAAAAAAAAAAAACAAAACTTTAAGTTTAAGTATGTGTTTTTAATATACGTTTATTTTACTTTAATGTAGTAGTTTTTCTTTGTTTCGTTTTGTGTTTTTTTTTCTGTCAAACATTTGTGTTTTTGTCTTTATAAATATATTTATATTTAAAAGGATTTTGTATGTAGTCTCGTATTATTAAAAAAACTGATAAAAAGTAGCAGTTTAAATTCTTTGGGTAGGGGTGGTAGTTTTACAATAATTGTATCTATTATGTTTATGTTTATACATTTCTTTTAAATTAGATTTTTTTACTAAATATGAAATTTAGTTGGTAAAACTGTGATACACTTAAGAACGAATCCGAAACTGTACACCAAAAAAAGTGAAATTTAATTAATAATTTCTATATTTGTTACAACTGACACACTATCTTAATCTTTACACCAACACTTGTATCCCCAAAATGAAAATGTTTGAAATGAAAATTTAAAATCGGTTTTCCTCTCTCTCCCTTCCCATTTAAATAAAACACGTAATTTTTTTTTTAATTTTTGTGTAGTTGAATTTTTGTAGTTATTTGTTTTGTATTAAATAATTTTTTAATTTTGTATTAATTTGTTTTGTTTTACTCTTAAGTTGCACTAAACAATTGTAGTCAAAGTTTAAACTAATTGTATTTTTGTCTAATTTTTTGTATTTTTCACACCACTCAAACTCAAACACAAAAACAAAAACAAAAAACAATATTACCAAAAAATCAATACACACTTATTAAATCAAACAAATTTAAAACTCCTTAAATTAAACAAACCATGGACTCCATGGTCACCATCATCAACAAACAACTTGAACTTCTACCACTACTTCTCCTTCACCTTCTAAATGTTTTTTTAAAAACAATTTTAATTCAAAAAATAAAAAAATAAAAACAAAACTTTAACAACTAAAGAAATTGCTGGGAGCTGCTATCGAACGAAAACCTAAAATCGAAAATGTCAACTTGGCTGGAGGAAAACTTATAAGAGAAGCAAAGGTAAATGATCACAAAACTTGAACTATTTCTTCTTTTCCTCTATTTTCTGTCTCTCTCACTATCTGACTGTCCCTGAAACATTGTTGAATTTGAAATAGTTTTGATAAAAGATTTAAATGTTTTGGGTAAGAACATTTGAATCTTTTTTATCTTGTAAAAGGTATATTTAATGCTTTTTTTATTGTTTAAATAAGCAAAACTTAAAATTTTATTAAAAACAACAACAAAATAATTAACAAACCATAATAAAACTCTGGTTTGCGGTGCGTTAATAACTTTGAATTAAAAATAATAAAAACTCAAAATTAATAATTATTTAAAATAAATTAAACTTAATAAAAAGCACTAAATATGAAAAGAAAATTATTCTCTCACAATATTCACCAAATATTCTACTCATAAACAATAAAATCTTAATAATTTATCTATAATTTAATAATGAAATATTACTTTACTAACCTAACAAAACTTAACATTATTATATATTATATATAACTTAACAAACAAATCAACCCAAAACCAAATAAACAAACAACAAACAAAATATACAACAAACATCATGAACAACAAACGTAAAGATTTACGATGGTAAATGTCTGCGCTTCATCGATTGGTTGCTAGAGGTGCGACCATCTTTCGCTCCACCACGACGAGATTTGCGTCCTGCCGAAAGTGATCCCGGTGCCACACAGTATTACAGCCAACGTTTGGATTTATTAAATACGAAATACGATCGACTATTGGAACAATTATCACAACGTCTTAAAACTGCCATTGAGGTAAATGGCAGTGATGGTTTGGTAAGTTGATCATTTTTTTTTATAAATTCACTTTGAAAAAAAAAATATTTACCTGATTCTTGCAAAATTATATATTTATTTAATTAAGTCGATGTTATTGAAAATATTTGAAATTTTAAGTAAATAACCTGGAATTTTAGATAAAATTTATTGTTTTATCCTAGAAACATGTTAGAACTTGTTGTACGGTAACTAGTTGTGAAACGATTGAAGTTAGAATCACTTCAGATTCTTCAACTGTAACCTTAGAACCAGTAGTATCGCAATTACTTTTGTAATCAGTTCCAATTAGAAGTTTATTTGGACTAGTCATACATTTATACTACAATAGTACTATGGAATAGCATACAAGTTCCAAAACAACTTCTTTGAACCAGTTCAAGAAATGTGATAAAATTCCCTAAAAATAATTTTGAGAACAGTTCTATTGATGTTCTGGATTCCACAGAACCAGTTCCTTAGGTGACAATTCCCATTAAAAATCAATTATAGATTATTTAGATGCGTTCTAAAACGAGTTATGGAACTAAAACTATTTTTCTATATTTGTGAATATTACTCTATGAAAGTTCCTGTCCCTATTTTCAAATATCTTTTTCTGTTATACAGCCGTTATAATCGTTTATTTAAAATTTTAATTCAAATGTAAATTCTTTACATTTCGTTTGAATATTTCTAAAAAAAAAAACGAATAAACAATTTAAAACGCATAAAATTTAAAATTATCTCAACTCCAATCAAAATTAATTTAAAATATGTGACTAAAATTAGTTATATATAAATTATTTAGATTTTTTTAATTTGCATAAATTAAAATTAAGCAAAAAAAAAATTTTAAGAAACAAAAACACCAAAACTTGTTTAAATGATCAACTATTTTATTCGAGCATAAAAGTTTTGAACAATTTATTGCTGCTGTATTATTAAGCATTCATTTAATTTAAAACAAGTTGTTATTATTTATTTATTTATTTGTTTAATCAAGCAATACAACAACCAATTTAAACAAATAGTATAGAGATATTTCCGACAAAAAAAAAAACAAAATCAATTAACAGTCTTTCACCTCTTCAATATTCTAAGTTTTTAAACTATTTTAAAAGTTTTTAAAATAAAAAAATGACTGCATACAAGCGCATTTAACGTATTGTTGTCTGTCTGTATTTCACCTTCATTTTGTCACTTTATCTTTTTAAATATGGGATTAAAATTGATAAATGAGAATTTGAATATAGTTTTTAGTTAAAAATTATATTTGCCATTTTTCATTTTTATGTGTATTGGTTTAAAAAAATTATTTGCAACTTTTACTTTTAACACATCTTGGGCATTAATTAATTAAACAAAACAAAAATCAATAACAATGACGACGTCGTTAATCTAAAAATATACAATAACATCATAAATATCGTGGTGTCAAATAAAAAATTACTTTGATAAACACTCTTAATTATAAATCATTTAGCTATACTATAGACAATTTAATATCTTTATATGAGTGGATTATTGTGGATATATGTATGAAAAATATTCAACTTATAATTCTATTAGGATGTGGGGTAACTTTTTTTCACTTTAATTGAAAATGCGCATTTTGGAAAATGTTTTGACTTCAAATCGAATCAACAGTCAAATATTGTTAGATCTTAAGAATTTTGTTCATTTTCAATTGAATTTCGAAACTTAATCTTGAATATAACTTGGTTTTGTTTTAGTCTATTAGTACGGAGATCGTGGGTTCGACTCCCATCAAAGACTCTGTCTGTTAAAGGAACGCAGTACAGTAGCGATAGCGGCCTCGGTGTATTTCTTCATATCTGATATATTCCCCTTTTAAACTGACTGAGGAATTTTTCAAATTAATTAATGTTTATAAATTTTAAACTAATACTCTTCAAAGCCTCCTATATTTTACCTATTCCTAATTGTAAGGAATTTTTCAGGCTACCTGCCTAGGTTAGTTTCTTCTCTGAAAATATTCAATAAGATTAATTATTATTGGTGTCATGAGATGTTATATGAAGCTGGAGAAATTGTGAGAAATTTGGAGACAGGCAGAGCATCGGTTAAGGGTGCCTAGAACAATTCATTCTTGCTAGCAGTTGAGAATACTGCTCCAACCGGCTCTTAACTGTGCGAGTCTGGAAAGAGTTTGTCTGGGTAATTGCCTCTCACTATCCGAAATCGCGGATGGATGTTGATTTAAGACTTTATTGAACCTGTAGCCACTAATGGCTTCTGTGGCCGCCGTTTGGTGCAATGCCTTCTGCGCGTTTATTATCGACAATTTATCGACGTCAGATGGGATGACGTCCTGAATGTCTGTAATATAACGTCGAAAGTCTGACCGAATGTATCGAGGGGTGGGATCTTTCATCAAAATTTGATGGTTGGGAATGAATGGCTGATGACATGCCACCAGGAATTGTCTAGCCAGCAACACATTATGTTGCTTGACAGACAGCATCCTGGTTAGCTCGTGTAAGTGATCCACGTTTGTCATCTTGACGCATCCGGTTGCGATTCGGGGTGCATTATTTTGGGATGTCTGCAATACTCGCCATTGTGTGTCACTGAGATAAGGGGTCTTTATTGGGGTTAGTTTGTTAGTAGTGCTGTAATCTGTCATTACGGAGGTGGAAGGTTCGATTCCCACCAAAGACTCTGGTAAAGAAGCACATAACAGGCTAGATAGTGGAGTAAATGTATATACATTCTCCTTTAAAACTAACTAAAGAATTTTTGAAGTTTTAAAATTTCTAACTAATACTGTTCAAATCCGCCTATTGTACACCTATTCCTAAAACGAATATCAAAATTTATATAAAAATTATAAACTTTGATATTAGGTTAGTAGTGGTTAGTGTTCTAGCCTGGTAGACCGAAGGTGATAGGTTCGATTCCCACCTGAGGCACTGGATAAGAAGCGCACAACAGGCCCTATTGAGGCCTAAGTGTATTTCTTTGGATTTGATGTATATATGTATGTATGTATATACATCCTCCTTTCAAACTAACTAACTAATTTAACCCCTTATTCATAACCAACATTTTATTCTATAAAAGGTTTATAAAACAAAATTTGATTTATAAACCGTTTATAAACTAAAAATATTGTTTATGAATAAGGCCTTAAAAATTAAAGAAAGAATTTTTAGCATATTCGGGTTAAAACATATTTGTAGTTTAAAAAGTTGAAAGTGATTTATTATATCTCCGCCTCAACCTCCAACTTTTGGAATGAACTTTTTTTATTTTAAAGTTTTTTTTTTTTTACATATTTAATAAATATTTATTAATAATACTACTTATTTGTATTGCTTTTTGCTGTGCGTGATGACAGCATTTAAATGATCTTGCTGATGTTGTGATGTCATTACTCTATAAAATACTCACTCGTATAATACGAGTTTTTTAAGAATTGAAATTGAGAGTTTTTATATAAAAAAAAAAAACAAAAATAAATTTACATATTTTTTGTTATTGTTGTTTTGAATGTGGCGGATTATTGTTATTAATTTTCAAGGTTAATTTAATCATTTTTCTCTTTTGCTGATCACACACAAAACGAACACTTTTGTTTATTATTAATGCATTTAACAATGTTAAAGGTTAAAAAATTAACAAGTAAATACTTATGTTATTCTTTTTAACTATGTGGACTATAATTATAATGTCGGTATATTCCGATCCTCATAAATTTAAATACTTTTTATACATTCTTATGTTTCTTTTTATGGTTAATTAAAAAATCTCTCACCCACCCGCAAACAACTGTTTAAAATCACCATAATAGCCTACTTAAATTCTATGTAAATTATTATAGTTTATTTAAGGTATTTAGTTTAAAACAAAGAAGTTTAAAAGAATCAAGAAATTTCTTAATTAGCTTATAAATTGATTTTAAAATCATAACCAAACTTACTATTCTTTATTTAATTTTATTCAATATTACATTTTGTATATTTCTACTGTTATTATAGTAAAGAATACATTTATTCTTAAACCTATAAGCATTTAATTTTTCAAATTTAACATTTTTAATTGTTGTTAATAAAACCATATAGGAAGCTATAAAAATTTACTTTCATACAATAAAAAAGAAAATCTTCTTTCAGTAGAATTGATAAAATTTTGAAATTACGAACTTGGTCAAATAACTGTCTATTTGTAAACAAAGAATAACAAAAAAAGAGTGCTTGTAAATTTGTATTTTTGTATTTTCTTCTTTATTTCAAAATGACATCATTACAATATAAAAAAGTTATATTACAGGCACTTAAATTTCGAACACAACTTTATCGTGCCGTACATTGTGTGTTTCCATGAATTTTAATTTCTTTAAAAAAATGTTTAATTGAAGTTTTTGTCATTGTTTATTTTTTTTATCTATTTATTTGTATTATTTTTTTCTGTTTTTGGCTAAGTAACCTGTTTATTACCAAATTATTTTTAAAGAATTCTAATATGTTTTGTATACAATAACAACTATCTACTTATGTACAATATTAGCCACAATTCAAAACTTCCTAGTTTAATGAACACATAGTATTCGTACGTATAAAAAATTAGAAAAAAAAGAAATAAAACAGATTGAAATACTCATTTCTTGAAATTTAAGTTTTCAAACATAGAAAGAGATTTGAACGATTGTTGAAGAACTACTTCAGTCAGTATCACGATTCAATTACCGGCGTTTTTATATGTATGTATTTATATTTACTTTAAATGAGTGTTACAATTAGTTTAATAGTGTTGCCATCGTAGATTTTATTTAATTAAAAAGCACATTTTTCTATAATGCAAATGAATAAGGTGTTTTCAGATAAAAATTGGATAAATTTTAATATAAATTTCAATTCTACCAAAACTATATTCTATATAGTCAGAATATGTAACAAAATTTTAAACCACATTCAGTAGCCGAATGAGCTGAAATTGAATACAACTGATGACAATTATTTTTTAAAATCGAAAATTGGAAAGCTGCAAAAATGTTC